ACATCACGGCTTGCACAACCGACAGTAGTGGCCACTGCATGACTGCTGCTGCTGCTGTTGATACTCTTCTCCAGAAAGTATTCTCCACAGTCCCTTCTTCATGGCATCACTAGTACCCTATTCGGAATTTAGGATGGGTGCATATCATTGATGTTGCGTAGGTCACCTGCCCAAGCTGTAGCTGCAAGAAAGGCTAAGAAAGTAGACTGTATTTGTAAGGTGAAGGATTCTCAAATCCAGGGAGGCAAGTTGTTTCTTACAAGTGCTCTCTATGACAGTGTTTCTTGACCTTCAATGTGCACATGAGCCATTTGGAGATCTTGTTGAAATGCAGATTCTGATTCAGTAGATTTGGGGTGGGGCCTGACATTCTTCAGCACCTAACTTCATGTGAAGCTGCTAATCTGAGGATCACACTTTAAGTGGCAAGGCTCTATAGCACCGATTTTCAAATTTGGCTGCATATTGGATTAACTAGAGAAACATTTCTTTTAAAAAAAAAAATACCGATTTATGAGCCTTTCCCTCAGCTGATTTAATTGGTTTAGGGTGAGGCATGGGAATATAAATTTTTTAAAGCTCCCCAGATGATTCTAATATACTCAGATACCTTTCACTACAGGCTCCAACTTCTTGTCACTTGGCAAGGTTTTCTGTTTTTTGTTTTTAAGACAGAGTCTCACTGTGTCACCCAGGCTGGAATGCAGTGGGGTGATCCTGGCTCACTGCAACCTCCACCTCCCAGGTTCAAATGATCCTCCCACTTCAGCTTCCAGAGGAGCAGGGACCACAGATGCACACTGCCACATCCAGCTAATTTTTTGTATTTTTGGTAGAGATGGGGTTTTGCCACGTTGCCCAGACGGGTCTCAAACTCCTGAACTCAGGCAATGCGTTGGCCTCAGCCTCCCAGAGTGTGGGGATTACAGGCCTGAGCCAACATGCAGACCTGCTATGTTATTTCTTTTCTCCAGCTTCCAGGACTTCCACTTTCCCTGCCTTGCTTGGTTTCTCCCTTTGTAATTTGATTTCTCTCATTTAGTATGCAGAACAATTTGAAACTCTACTCTTTAGTCCCTAGGGCCTAACTTTGCATATCTAAAGCTCTATAGAGTTCTGCTAATCCAGTGTTTCCCAAAACTATGTTACCCATTGCCCTGGGAGAGTGTGATATGAAGTGATGCATAAACAAACATTGTTTTAAATTCTAATCATTCTGTATTTATTTTAATGTAATTGCTAAAAAAAAAATGTAGCTAAAACAGTAAGTCTAGTCTTACGAATATTGTTTAGGACAACAAGAAGTTGCCTGTAATCCAAGCACTTTGGAGGCCAAGGCAGGCGGATCACCTGAGGTCAGGAGTTTAAGATCAGCCTGACCAACATGGTGAAACCCTGTCTTTTTTTTTTTTTTTTTTTTGAGACAGAGTTTCGCTCTTGTTACCCAGGCTGGAGTGCAATGGCGTGATCTCGGCTCACCGCAACCTCCGCCTCCTGGGCTCAGGCAATTCTCCTGCCTCAGCCTCCTGAGTAGCTGGGATTACAGGCACGCGCCACCATGCCCAGCTAATTTTTTTTGTATTTTTAGTAGAGACGGGGTTTCACCATGTTGACCAGGATGGTCTCAATCTGTTGACCTCGTGATCCACCCGCCTCGGCCTCCCAAAGTGCTGGGATTACAGGCGTGAGCCACGTGCCCGGCCGAAACCCTGTCTTAAAAAAAAAAAAAAAAAAAAAAGAAGTTAATTTTAAAAACAGGTAAATGACAATAGAGACTCAGGGCAGATAAAATCAAAATCACACAAATGGTTTGCAAGTGAGTGAAACTGAAGTGTGCCTATACAAACGTAGCCTTCTTTCCAAAGCCATAGGCTTTAGGAGCACAGAATAACTGACAGAGGTGTTCTAAGACACCAGCGTCGGGGTCCAAAGTGGCTCCCGCCGGAGGTTGTGGCGCTTGCAAAGGCGAGGTCATGAGTTCAAGGCTAACCTGAGCAACCTTATAAGCTCAAACTGATTGGCAAAAAAAAAAAAAAGACACCAGCGTCTTTTCTTCTCCCTCACCTCCCCAATATAGGAAGCAATAGAGAGATTTATTTCTGAACTGATACGAATTATGCCACTAATCTTAAAATGGATAGTCAGTTTTGATCTTAAATAGATTTCGTAAAATTTCAAGAAAACAGCACCAACCTTTAGAAAATTAATGATCTAAAGAAAAATAAATTATAAGAATCACTTAGGAAATATAAAATACAAATAATGTTTAATTCCTTAACCAGCTAATCTTTAACAAGAAAATGGATGAAACTGTTTAGAATCAGTAAGAGCTAATATACAAATCCAGAAAGTCTTAAAACTCCTAAGCAGGAGAAATTTTTTTAAACTCCACACTTAGTCACATCATTGTGAAAGTTCAGAACCCCTAAGAAAAATTGATCTTAGTCAACAACAAGACTGACAGCAGATTTCTCAGTAGCAATAGAAACTAGAAGATAACAGAGTAATATGCTCAATATTATAAGGGGAAAAAATATTTGTAGAATTATATATTCAGTAGAATTATCATGAAACAACAGGGCAAAATCAAAATATTTCAGGTGAAAAAAAACCCAAGCGTTTACCATATCACACTGTCACTCAAGGAAATTCTAAAGAATTTGCTACAGGCACAAGGAAAATGATCCAGAAAGAAGATCTGAGATATGCAAAGAAATGGTAAGCAAAATGTTGTTACACATGTGGGTGGGTCTAAAAATGATGTCTAATTTATATGATGAAACCAGGATAGAACTAAAATAGTGAATAACTTATAAATGGAGAGAGGAGAGGGTGCGTAGAGTTAAAACATCTTAAAGGCCTTTGCATTATTCAAGAGGAGAGTAAAGCTATTCGTTAGCTTTATATTTTAGGATTACATTTTAAAATAGTAAAACAATCATGGTGGCTCTTGTCTGTAATCCTACCACTTTGGGAGGTGGAAGCGGGCAGATCATGAGGTTAACAGATCGAGACCATTCTGGCCAACACGGTGAAACTCCGTCTCTACTAAAAATAGCAAAACTAGTTGGGCATGGTGGCTCCTGCCTGTAGTCGCAGCTATTTGGAGGCTGAGGCAGGAGAATCACCCGAACCCAAGCGGCAGAGGTTGCAGTAAGCAGAGATTGCACCACTGCACTCCAGCCTGGCGACAGAGAAAGACTCCATCTCAAAAAAAAAAAAAATACATACACACACACATACACACACACACACAGAGAGAGAGAGAGAGAGAGAGAGAGAGAGAGAGAGAGAGAGAGAGAGAGAGACTGCATTACTCCAAATAAGTTGAAGAAAAAAATGTGAGAAAAAGAAAAAAACACAGATATACATAATCCAAAAGAAGCTTCTTCTGTAAGTTTTTGACATCTTAACTTCTTGTATGCCATTCAAGGTAAGTGGTGTTTTATAATTTTTTTTATGGTAAGCTTATCATTAAAGGGTCATTTTCTTATGAGAATAGCTTTCAGCCTAGCTTGTAGAAGCATTCTTTCAAGTCGGTTTTATGTCTGCTTCCGCCAGGCATTCTAGATCCCCCATATCTAGGCTCTGTTTAGGCAAGAGAGAGGGTGATGGTGTAGGAGGAACCATTTCTTGGCTTGGGGATTCCAATAATATGTTTTATAGATTTAAACTCCAGACTTTGATGAAATGCAGGCCTAGGGTTTCAAAATTTATTCAGAGTTAAATATATATTTTCTTCATCCAGAGATGGGACAAGCTTCCTCAACTGCTCATTCATGGGTGTTTTACACTTTTCCTACTCCATCTTTTTCCCAAGGATTTTAGGGACAATGGTTTTTTGCCGAGTACTCAGTTCCAGCTCCCACCCTGAGCCCTTACCTCCTGCCCATAAACATCCAGACCTGAAGTTGGAGACAGTAACAACACTTTGCCCACACCTAGGATGACCAATTGTTCTGGTTTCCTTAGGGACATAGGAATTTTTCAGTGCTAAAACCAGTTAAGTCCTGGGCAAACTAGTATGACTGGGGCTCTACAGCCCCGCCCGTATATCCTGGGCAGGAGAAGAATCAGTTGGACAAGTCATTGCTCTGGTTTTCAGTTTATTTTTGGTATTTAGAATTCCCCTTCTTTTCTTATCGTATTAGCTGCATATTGAAAATAAAATGTTATTTTTTTTTATCCCGCATTACTAGCTGTTAGTTATGGAAGTCCATTATTTTGCCAGCTCAAAAAGTAACATTTTACGGCTGTCAGTACACAAGTTAAGTTTGCGGATAAGGGTCATAGCCACTTAGCCCTGTAGGAAGGAGTGGTTCCCAAAGTTATGTGATTGGCTCCATCACCTGCCCCACAGGTCACTCCTGCTCTGGGCTCTTGCTCTGACCATGAGAATGTTCTAGAATTCTCCAGGAAGGCCTAGCTTCTCCCTGTAAGGCCTGGAAGGGGAATTCTCCCATAAAGATGTAGGATCCCTGAGCGAAGAGATATTCTTTTACTCTGTTCACTCCTGCATCTGCAGTACCTGGTAATCACAGGCAATTGGTAACTGTTTCCTGAAAGAACGAACATCCTGAATGTCAAACTGGCATTTCCTCCTATCCAACCCCTTCTATCTCAAACTTGACAGAAGGGAGTCCAAGTTTCTGGCCTGTGAATCTTCCGTTTTCCACAGACTTCCTTCTATTTATTTCTACAGGCATTTAAAAAGATTTTGAGATGGGTGTGAAGCTAACAGTGATTGGACTGACCCTGTGCCTTCGAGAAACCATTTTGAAACTACAGCCTAGACACATTAGATTATTATTTTTTAAAACTGTACCATATATTTCAGTAGGCATGCTTATTTCAACGGTTTTTAAGGGCATTTTGGAGGTGATGTGTGTGTCTGTGTGTCTGTTTGTTCATGTGAGGGCGGCGCCAACCTGGGACCAAGACACTGGCCCTACGCGCACACCCACACACGCCCTGCGTACCCTACGTACACGCACCGTGGGCGCCGTCACCCCCCCGCAGGCCCCCCCCCCGCAGGGAGGCGGGGGCGCTGCCACCCATTGGCTGAGGCGGATACCACGCGCCCCGATACCCGGCGCAGGAGCCACCTCCCCGCTCCCCACAAACCACGCCTCAGTCCGCCTGCGCTCCTCAGCCTGACGGACCGTCTTTCGGGGCTCCTCAGCTTTCTCACCTGCCTTTGGTTCCTTTGACCACTCGAAGCCGCGCAGCGGGTTCTAGCGGACCTCACAGCAACCCCAGAAGCGGTGCGTGAAGCACAGCCTCCAGTCCTCGAGCTAGTCGGAAACTACTGTCTGCCGCCATCATGGTGAGTTGAGGGGGAGGACTGAGGGGCAAGGTCGGCGGGGTTTTCAGCTGTGGGTGAAACCCGGCTTTGCGGAGGTGGAAAGCGAAGTCACCCCGGCTTTTTTGTTTAGGGGCCCCGCCGTCTGGACGCACCACGAGTGGTGGCCTGCAGGGTGGGGTGAGGCGGCATGGCGGCCGTGCGGCCTACACAGAGTGAGGCGCTGAGGTGGCGGGACGCCGAGAGTGGCGTGGTGGTGTGGGTCCTGAGGACGCCGCCCGCTGCTTCTCAGGCCATGTGCAAGGGCCCCGGCTTTAGTGTGGTACCTATTTCCCGCCTTGCCTGCCGAAGTTTAGGGTGCGGGTTCCCCACCCCCACACGTCCCTACCCCTCCCCCACCCCCTGTCCCTCCCCCGCCCCCACCCCGTGGCGGGCTCCATCCTGCCAGCCTTACTTCCGGTGGTCTCCGCGTGGCTTTTTGAAGATGGCGGCAGGCCTGCTGAGCGACTTGCCTCCTTGGACTCAGAAGGCGGGAGCTTCCTCAGGAAGTGGTTCCCTCCCGGTCTTTGTATGGGGTGGTGTGGGCGGGGTTTGTGGGGGCCTCAGCGTGGGGTATGGGGAGTCCTTAAAGCGCAGCCGCTAGCTGAGTGGAGCTGGGCTGGAAGTGCCTCTGGTCCCCTCGCGCCTTCCACCTGCTGGGGACTGGCTGATGATGGCTCCCTCGTCCAGCAGTGACAGGCACAACTCGCCTGACGCCATCTTTGTGGCACGAGGTGGCCCTCAGTTGCCATTGAGAATTTTAGAATTTTTGTACTCGGGGCACAGTTTTTTTCCTCTCTGCATAAACCAGGAATCTTTGACAAAATGTCCATTTGGGATGGTGTTAGGTATACGGTTCTATGAATTTCGTAAATGCCCTGCGTTGTTTCAGTGCCACCACGAGATGCAGCTCTGAATACACTGACCAACCACTGAGTCACCAACGCGTGTATTATATGCTGTGTGTTTGTCTGCATTGATAATTCTGTCTCATTTTTAGAGATAAAAGGAAATTTATACACAGTTTATATTAGCATGTATAAACATTAAAATAAAAATATAGTAATAAAAACAACTTATGTAATAATTGTGCAACATGTAGTTATACTAATACATCACCTTGAGTTATAAGTAACAATTTACAATACTTTTTTTGTAGGAGGTAAGGGAAGAAATGCTAATAGTTTCCTCGGGGTTTCTGATTATAAAAGCATGTTTACTCATTTGAAAACAATCACTGTAAGAAAATAGCAATCCATCTTAATCCCAACACTTAAAAACACAGTTAAATTTTGATACAGGTATGCCCTTCCAGATTATTATTATTATTATTTTTTTTGAGATGGAGTTTCGCTCTTGTTACTCAGGCTGGAGTGCAATGGCGCGATCTCGGCTCACCGCAACCTCCACCCCCTGGGTTCAGGCAATTCTCCTACCTCAGCCTCGTGAGTAGCTGGGATTACAGGCGCGCGCCACCGTGCCCAGCTAATTTTTTTGTAATTTTTAGTAGAGACGGGGTTTCACCATGTTGACCAGGATAGTCTCGATCTGTTGACCTCGTGATCCACCCGCCTCGGCCTCCCAAAGTGCTGGGATTACAGGCTTGAGCCACCGCGCCCGGCCCCAGATGATTTTTATGCAGGAATAGCATATAGATGGGCCACTTTTTACAAAAGTTGCTGCATAATACTGTTTTACAGCTTGCATCTTTCAATTAATGTCGGCATTATTCTGAAGGTAACTTTAACTTTCAATATATCATGCTAAAAACTATACCTTTATTTTACCGAATTCCCTTATGATGAATAGTTTTTCAGTATTAAAACAATGCTATTGTGGCCTGGGTGCGGTGGCTCACACCAAAGTCATGGGAGGCTGAGGCCAGCGGATCTCTTGAAGTCAGGAGTTTGAGACCAGCCTGGCTAACATGGTGAAATTCTGCCTCTACTAAAACAAAAAAGCCGGCTGTGGTGGCGTGCACCTGTAATCCCAGCTACTCAGGAGGCTGAGGCAGGAGAATCACTTGAACTTGGTAAGCAAAGGTTGCCGTGAGCTGAGATGGTGCCACTGCACGCAGTCCAGCCTAGAGACTCAGTCTAAAAAAAAATGCTGTGAATATCCTAGTATGTATCTTGGCACACTTGTACTATTCCTTGAGATGAATTGCTGTAAGTGGAATTGCTGGGTGAAAGCTCTTTGCCCCTTTTATAACAATTTTAAATTATGCTCCTTGTTAGTATGGTGGTGAGTATCCCCGCCTATCCAGTTTTGATAACACCTTTTCCAACCTACTCTTGGGTAAAGCGTCTATCAGTATTTTCCCACTGTTGGCATATGTTCCCACTCTTTTCCACACATTTTCCAATAAAAGGTATTAGGATTTTAAAAATTGTTAACCTAATAGCTGGAAAATATTTCAGTATATTGTGCACTTTTTAAAATCATAAAGTTGATCATCGATCATTAGCTTTTAAAATGTCCTTTTAAATTTTATTTTTCTTATTGATTCATCTCTGCATTAATATTCGTCTTTGTCGTACATAGTGGAAAAAATAGCATTCATGAGGTGCGCTAACCTTATTCCTAATTTCAATGGAGTTGACTAGTATTTCACTTAAAGCTTAATAATAGGGTAGAATTAGATTGATAGAAAATGATTCCTCTATTTTATTTGGATTTTAAAAAAATTTAAAAATGAATGCTGTATTCTATCAAATGCTTTTTGAGTGATGAATTGAAGTAATGCATCCTATGAATGAAGTATTTTTGCATTCCCAGTATAAATTATACTTAATGATGACGTATTCTTTATATATTGCTGGAATTTTGCATTTGTGTTGAGGGCAGGAATGGATGATCTTGATGAGGCTTTGTTACTTTGTGCTGTTAGCAGTAAAATTACAAAACGCATATAGAAATATTTTTTCCACTGAATATTGAAGAAAAGTGTTTGAATTTTGTTCTCTAATGTCTTCCACCTTTATTTCTGTGTCTCGTGAGAGTGTGCACCTTTCTCTGACACACATATACCCAAGTTACCCGTTTCTTTTTAAGTTGAAAAACTCCCAGGGAAACTCAGCCAGGTGTCACTGGGTGTTCTTCCACAAGATAGTTTTGTAAAAACTTAAATTTCTTTACAAGTCTGCCATGTTGATTTCCAAATTTATTACTATAGAGTTTATGTATAGCATTATTTTATAATCGGTGGTCATAACCCATTTTTCAGGTCTCATACATACATTTGCTTGCTTGCTTTTTCTTGCCTAGTTTTGCCAGGATAGTTTACTGCTTGAATTTCATCCTCCCTACCCCTACTTCTCAAGAATCTACTTTTGGATTTACTTAAAAGTTTTGATTCTTATTTTTATAATTTTTATTTATTATTATTTTTTTGAGACAGTCTTGCTCTGTTGCCAGGCACCAGGCTGGAGTGCAGTGGTGCGATCTTGGCTCACTGCAACTTCCGCCTTGATTCTGATTTTCATGCCATATTTTCTTAATTTTAGTATTCTCTTTATTTGCTCCTTCCTGTTGCTGTGAATGTAACTTTGATGACAACAAATTATAGGCTTTTTCCTGGTCAGTTTATATAAATTTCAGTTTGCTTACATGTACACATAGTAATTGAATTGGATAATACTGTCAAAGGAGCTGACATCTCAGGAGGTTAAATAATGATAATTTTTTCCAGCTTTTAGCTGTCTTTGTCACTTGGTTGTCAAAATATAACAAGGAACGTATTTGCTATAAATAGAAATGAGAGTTGTGTATATGATGGTCTTTGAAGCTCACCCCTGTTTATTCCAGCATTTCTCATTTCATAATTTACCAACTCACTTGAAGGTATGAAGGTATTTCTTTAACGCAGCTTGTTTTCTGGATACTATTGACCGTTAAGATGGTACTTTCTTTAAAATTAAACTTTTGCTTATTCTAATCATTTATTTATATTTTTGGCCATAGTTTAAAACTAACCAAAGGTTGTCCATTGATTGTAGATTTATATATATTATGTTTAAAAACAAAGTGGGAATTTTAATCTCTGCTAATCAAGCTATGGTAAAAATGAAGTACATTGCTTACTTTGTTAGCTTTGAGTGCCACCTGCTGGCTGAGAACTAGGTCGTGATGATGCCTTCCGTAATTTATGATGATGTTACACTATTAAAATGATTCAACCAATTTTATATTTACGATTCCATTTAAGCAGGTAGCCAGCTTGTAAGATCCAAGCCAAAGTAAGACTTCGTATAATATTAAATGTCTTTTTTTCTCATTCTCAAACTACTGTTATCTCAAATATCCATTTTACTCTTACATATGAGAATTAGAAGAGACGCGAGAGGTCTTTTCCAGCCATTCATTTTCAAGCAAGGAAACTGAGGTCCTGAAAAGACCTACGTTACTGAACAGTGGAAATAAGGTTCTTTCCAAACAATAATTTTCCTTTTCAATTCTTGCGGCACTGTCACAAGGTTTCTTAACCACACCCTGTTCGGATTTTGAACCAAATAATTCCTTGTTGTAGAAGACTGTCTCTGCATTATAGGATGTGCAGTAGTATCCCTGGCCTTCAGAACACCAGATGCCAGGAATACACCTCAGTTGTGACAGCCAGTCTCTAAACATTGCTAAATGCAGGTGGAGCTTAAAAGTCTTCCCCAGTTGAGAATCAGTGCATTATCATAACCTCTTATCTGACACAGTTTTCTGCCAGATATTACAGTTCTAAATTAAAATACCTCCAAACACTGTGGTGCAGAGACAATACTGTATACATAGCTTGTTTATCAAATAAAAACATATCCAAAGTTCATCCACAAATCAAGGGGGAACTCCCAAGAATTTCAGAATTCCTTTTGTTTTATTCTGTTTGGGATTTTTGAATGAACTGAGAAGGGATTGGTAAATTGTCAATATGGAAGGGAAATTTAACCAGGTTCTCAATAAAGATATGCAGCTTATATATTCTAATTTAGAAAAAGATGTTTGGAAAGGAAAAACTTTAGAAATTGTTTTTAAATTTTTCTTTCACATCTTTGTCATGAAATACCACTATTAAATGAAAGAACTAGAAATTATTTAGTTACAAACCCAAATAGCAAAAACAAGCACAAATGAATAGAGAAAAGCAGTAAAGTCAGCTTTCGTCTGACAATTTAGATTTCATCTCTAATAAAGCTCTGTAGAGTTAGTAATTTCTAGTATCTAATTAACAAAGCAGGAACTCTACTTTCTATAAAATGTGCTTTTTAAAAAGATGTACATTCGCTTTCTTTTGCCTTTGCTTTTCTTTCAAACAGGTATATGTGTAATAGCTTTCTCTTTTGCAGCCTTTTGTAGTTATAATCAACAGGCACTTAACAAATGATTTTTAAATTAATGATGTGCAGTATTTTCCTGATGTTTCAATTAGTTCTTAATTAAAAGTATCTTCAAAATAAGTCAGCTAAAATAGTAAAGCCAAAAAAAGAAACTTTAAAAAAGGCTACTGAAAATAAAATAATAGGACACTAACTTATATTGGCATACCACTTTAAACTTTACAAAATGAATTCACAGATGTTATCTCATTTCATTCTCAAAGCAATTTGCCCAGAGATACACAGCTGGCAAGTAAGTGGCTTATAACCACTTACCTGTAAGGGACATAAACCTAGATCTCCTGACTAATCTTTGTTTCACTATGCCATATTGCTTCTTCTATATGTGTGTGTGTGTGTGTGTGTGTATATATATATATATAAAACTTGTAAATTCTACTTCAGAAAGTATTATTTTACATTAGCCTAAAGTGTACTGTGGAAAGAATAAAGAGAGTTCTGATCGGAATCCAGAAAAATAATGAATTATATGTATATGTTTCTATATCTGAAAATAAAAGTGGTATCATTTATATCTGTCAGCCCACTGTGAAAATTAGAATTATCAGTGAGACTGATTTGGTGTTACTCAGGAAGAAAAACGTTATTTCAAAAGATGCTTTGAACAGCACCCTAGCATTAGGGAAAGAGGATTATAACCCTTTTTTTAGAAGGAGCTATGACATGTGAGCAAATAATGTTTCCATGATCCATTTCCAAAGTAAAGCAGGCATACTAACACAGGGAGTGTTAAAATTGTAAAAATTCATGTTAATTTTGGTGAAAAAAGCAAAGCAAGGCAAATTGGTTTAAAACTTTGAGGCTTATTTTCTTTTTGATGTGGCATTTTGGGGGTTATTTTTTTAAGATTTATGGTTTTAGTGTAATTAGTAAAATGAAAAGTTGTTTATGAATATAGAACAGGATGATTTTAATAACTAATTTTTACAAATACGAACTTCGATTTTTTTAACCAGTTCACATAATTTCACAAATACTAAGTAATGTGGTCTTCACAGGATTGTTCAAGACTTGCACTTGGTGATGAGCAACACTGGGTTTAAGAAAGTACTGTTTGTTAAAATTCCATGCTGATATAATCTGATTAGTTTAAATCCTGAGCCTGAACTAAGCTGCACTGGTGACTAATTTACAATTAATTTATATAAAATATACTTTAAATACAAAAATTATATTTCACCTTATGTATCATTTTTGTTCATACATCTAATTATGATGTCTACTTTTCAAATTACAGTCTGCTGCAAATCCTGAGACTCCAAACTCAACCATCTCCAGAGAGGCCAACACCCAGTCTTCATCAGCTGCAACCAGCCAAGGCTATGTTTTACCAGAAGGCAAAATCATGCCAAACACTGTTTTTGTTGGTGGAATTGATGTTAGGGTATTGTATTCATCTCTCCTTTTTACCTTAAATATTTGATGAATAATGGGATTTGGGCCCTGTTACAAACTTAAGGTTTTTTAGCACTTCATGGAGGTTTTGAATTGGATTTATGTTTGACCCATAGATACTAAAAATATATTTGACAAAGAGCTACTGTATATTTGACTCATGGATACTAAATATATCTTTGACAAAGAGCTACTGGTCATTTGGGATAAATGGGAGAGACATTTTCACATCAAACCTTTGTAGTAAAATTGAAATTTTTGAATGCTGAATTTTTACTTTTGAAGTTCAATTCTTTTTCATAGATGGATGAAACTGAGATTAGAGGCTTCTTTGCTAGATACGGTTCAGTGAAAGAAGTGAAGATAATCACGGATCGAACTGGTGTGTCCAAAGGGTGAGTAATTTTATAAAAAATACCTGAACTCTAGCCACCTGTAGAGTATAAAGAGACTTCAAAACTGATATTCTGACCCTTGTATGAATGAAATTTGTTGCCATGTTAATTTCATTCATGTAGAGGATAAAAGTTTATTGCCAGCTCTTCTATTTAATCATTTTTCTTATGTTTGTTTTTAAATATCTCCAATTTTTATTTCATACAAATGAATTAATTAGTTTTCTTAAAGAATTGCTTTCTTCATACATTGCATAGTACCTTAAATTTTAACCATCTTGTCGTCTTAGTGAATTAAATTCAGGTTCACAGGGAGGAATTTTTTTGTTAATGAAGTTTTCACAGTACCCTAATTTTAGCACATTTTGACATAGTTCAGATTAAGAAAAAGTAGTATTTGTAGAGGATCTGTCATGTACATCTTAACAAATGCCAAGTATCTTATAGTATATTATTTATCATTTGTCATGATCACTTCTATATATAGAATACTAGAAGTTCTGAACCATGCACTGTGTGATGGTGATTTTATACTTATCTGCCTTTATAGCTATGGATTTGTTTCATTTTTTAACGACGTGGATGTGCAGAAGATAGTAGAAGTAAGTAATAAAAAAATTCTTATTTTATTGATAAAATGTTTGGTGTTGAGTGATATACTCAGTCTTGTGGAAAATTTGGAGAAAGGTACACTTTCTATTCAAAAGGTGCAATTTCTGTTCAAAATCCAAACTTAGAGTAACTTCATATAACTTGTTAGATCCTGTTTATTTTTGACTGGGCACCTACCTAGGTTCATGAACTACAGACAGGAAGGGTTGGAGACAGGTTTATGAAAAGTTTTTCATCAGCTTTCACTTGATACCTCTTGACACTGATTAATAAGGGTAAGTAAGGTAGCTTCATGGTACAAATTTTAATTTGATGTGTAGTTATCACTGATCATCTATGATAAGAACTTCAGAAGACTTTAGGTGTTTACCCAAGTAAACACCTAAAGTCTTGGAAGTAAAGACTTGAAAATTGATCCCAGTTTTGTTACTGTTTTATTTTCAGTCACAGATAAATTTCCATGGTAAAAAGCTGAAACTTGGCCCTGCAATTAGGAAACAAAATTTATGTGAGTAGAAAAATTGTTCTTACTGACAAGTGTAGCTTTTCAAAGAATTAAAAATAAGCTGTTTTCTTTTTGCTTTTTAAAAAGGTGCTTATCATGTACAGCCACGTCCTTTGGTTTTTAATCATCCTCCTCCACCACAGTTTCAGAATGTCTGGAGTAATCCAAACACTGAAACTTACATGCATCCCCCAACTACAATGAATCCTGTAACTCAATACGTTCAGGTGAGAATTGTTTATGTTCCTATTCTCTTCTTTATTGTAATCATCATATCCTCTGTGGAATTATATCCACAGTTTCCATCGTAAGTGGTAATAGAATCCCTGTTTTTGAACACTTTGAGTGATGGGAAATTTATTACTTCTGTTAGGAATTTCTTATTCTTAGTGTTCTTTATATGAGCTAAAAAATAGTTTGTCTTTATCTTAGAAACGACCTCTGTAGACACATGAACATCTCTTCCTTTTTGCCCCCATATAATTCCTAAAGTATTTGAAAGCAGCTTTCCTTTTATGTCTGCCTAGTTTATTCTTTTCTAAGGTTAGCAATTTATCTAGCTGTTCTTTACTTGCATTGATTTCCAGATGCCTCCTCATATAAATTGCTGACTTCTTGATATAGTCTGATTTTGGAATGGGTAGATTTCTGATGTGTTTTACTCTATCCATAAATTCTGCGAGTTTCTGGCATATGATTTCTCTGATCCTGGTTTGATAGTTAAAGTTGGGTTTGACATACTATTACTTACTGATGATAAATAATGTTTATTTTCTTAGTTCATTTTGCTTACATCTTAGTTTAACAGACATTTTCTTTGCTGGAAAATAAAGTAACAGTAGTGAAATAGTTTTCTTACCACTTACTGATGATAAATAATGTTTATTTTCTTCTTAGTTTGTTTTACTTACATCTTAGTTTAAAAGACATTTTCTTTGCCTTTGCTGGAAAATAAAGTAACAAAATCTTAGTGAAATAGTTTTCTTCAATGTCTCTCATTTTCCATGTACTTGAAATGTGTAGGGTGTATCTTTACTTTTTCCTTCTCTGAACAATGGCTAGAAAAAAGACCCTACTTGTTTCTAACATTTACTGTGAGCCATAGCAGAATCTGGGTGTATTCACATATACGGCTACATATTTCAATCAATAAGTATTGAAACATGTTGACATTATGCTGTCTCTTTTCCAGTTTTGGATTATATACTGAAAAATTATATAAGTTTTCAAAATGAAGTACAGAAAAAGCCATGAAATCTGTAGGAGAGCTACATATTACCCTATAATATTGTCAAATACAAAACTGTCTAGAAGTATTTCGATGAAGAAATAGCAAATGTATTAATTTTTCTTACATTGAAATCTGTCTTAATAGAGCATTATCACCTTTGTAAAAAATAACTTCTGGGTGGGATTAAGCACACAGTATAAATAAGGTAATCTTTGCCTGGTGAAATAGTCACTTCTTTTGTCATTTGTCTGTTCTCCCTCCCCACCCAAAGGGTAGCACTTGACAAGAGTATTTCCTTGTTTATAAAGTCAGTCAGTCATTTAGAATTCTGCATTGTCGTGTATAGAAAAATGATTAAGATTTTAAAATTTTTCAAATTTTATATATTGGGAATAATATTCTTTTCTAATTTTTAAAAAATGTTTTACCTGATTAATTCTTTCCGTAAACTTTGTTTTCAGGCATATCCTCCTTATCCAAATTCACCAGTTCAGGTCATCACTGGGTATCAGTTGCCTGTATATAATTATCAGGTAATTTAAGAGGGAGAAAAGTGATTTACTTTCAGATATTATAGAGTCCTTAAACTTGTTTATGAAAATTACCTGAATAGTTTGTCATTTTAAACTAGTGAAATGTACCTGAAACTTAAGGAAAAAATTTGAATTCATCTAGAATTATGGAATAATATTTTGACAGGAATGTACTTAGCAATAACTTTTCTCTAGAACAGTTTTCTGAAATTTGGTGTCCCCTTCTATATTTCAGCATGTATTTTTTCATCTTTGCTGTCAAATAGCTGAAAAGTCCAGACTGACTTTTATCAATTTTTTAGGGAGAAGAGTGAAATAAAATAATTACCCCATTCTTAGAACACAGAATTCAAATTATAGATAATAGTGTTTATTTTAGCTGGCTGCTTTGCAGTAGTAATTCTCTGAATCTCTTTTCATGGATACCACTATATTTATGACCCATAGTTATATCTATGTTAATAAATTCAGGCAACTCATATCTGAGATTTTTCCAATGCCAACTCCAGAAAATTAAGAAAAAGGTGAGGTTTTCTATATGGAAGTAACAAGAACCTCCTCAGGGATTAGAAACAATAAAGTACATTTTTTTTCCATTCTGTTTCTTTTATTATAATAACAAAGGAGCCAACGTGATAAATACTTCAATATTGTGTATCTTGTGTGTTTTTGAAAATGTGTAGGAATATTTGAATAATTTTGGTTTTCTTTTTTTTTTTCTTTTTTAAGATGCCACCACAGTGGCCTGTTGGGGAGCAAAGGAGTTATGTTGTACCTCCGGTAAAGTGAATTAGCTAAACATACATGTCTGTTCTTTATATTTTAAAGTATTTTTTTGTTTAACTATATTTCTTGATTTTTTGCCATGTCATATATGCCTATGAATATTTTTAAGTGGTTGTTTGTATTAATGTGTTATGTTTTGTTATTTTCTTATTAACCCAATTATAAACTCCCATGGGAGTAACCGTGCCTTTTTCTCTCAGGTTTTTGTGTGCTTAAGCAATGGCTGGTCAACATACAAGTATTCACTTACTGGTTGATAAGATTATATAATCCAAAAAAGGTAGTATTAATACAGCTTTAGAATTAGTATGTATTTGCCTAGAATCTGCCTCTGACTTTTACCAGCTGTACAAAATTTGTTGAAGAGAAACAGAAATGTATAACAGAAATATTTTGTTGTTAATTGCTGTTAAATAAGTCTAAAACACCTGAACTGCTTTCATCAGGATTGGAAATTTGAAGGATATAATAAGTGTTAAAATGTTCAAACACTTCCTTACTACATTAGTTTCTTAGAGTCCTTCTCCTCTGATTATGTTGATGCCTAGAAGACATTTTAAAACAAAACCTACCTTACTGTATTTCAACTGTTCATTGAAAAGAAAGTTTCTGAAATAATACAATTGAATTTCAACACAACCTACATTGAAACTTTCAATACCAGCTCACCTTTTTGAAGAATAAATAGGCAGCTTTTACATGTATCTGCCTATCTCTTTAATTACGCTTCTATTATTTTAAATATAGGCTTATTCATCTGTAAACTACTACTGTAATGAAATTGATCCAGGAGCAGAAGTTGTGCCAAATGAATGCTCAGTTTGTGAAGCTACTCCACCCTCTGGAAATGGCCCACAAAAGGCAAGCATCTAATTTTGTTTATCAATATGTGTATTTCATATTTATTTTTTGGTTTTAATAATGGTTTTTTGAGAAGCAAGCATTTTGCCCAAATTTAAAGATGAGAACCATAAATTATAGACCTTAAGTAATTGACTAATATTCAGCAGTTAATGTAGTTGGTGAAATTTCAGATACCCTGAATTTTCAGTGTGTACATAAAGTTTCTGATTCATCAGTCCTTTTCCATATTCCATTTTCACTAATTTTTAAAAATCATACTTTAATAACTGTTAATATGATTTGGCAGAATGCTGTGGGAGGGTTTTTTAAAGAATTCTACTCTTTAAAAGAGGAATTAATATGAATTATATGTAGCTTTTCTTTTACAAACGTTTTGATAATTTACTTAGCTAAACAGTGAGACATTATGGCATTCTCTCCATAACACTATATGTGCCAGTGGTGAAGTCAGTGGTAATTATTCAAATACTGAAAGAGATGGTTGTTTTTTTTTTAGTCATTAGAGCAAATTTCTATAATGACAATCTTGAAACATACATTCTGTTAAATGGGTGGGAGTGTGGAAGTATGATGTGCTGGTAATACGTATAACACCAAAGGAGTCCCATTGGAGTGTTCCTTGATTCGATAACGGATTTTAAAATGTGAATGAGTATTAAAATAGCTTACAGTATAATACCAGGTTTTGTCCTGAGTATTTTTTCTTGAACCATTGGCATTCACATAGAGATTTAATCAATTCAGCTTTTTAAACCAGCAGTATTCTATCACTATGGTTCTAAAATAATTTTTTGATATTTCAGAACACTTAAATATACTGTGTGATATGTGGTAAGAATTATGATTTGCATTTTTATGAATTTGTTTTTCAAGACAGTCTTGCTGTGTCACCCGTGCAGTTGTGTGATCTTGGCTCACTATGACTTCTGCCTCCTGGGTTCAAACAATTCTCCCTGCCTCAGCCTCCTGAGTGGCTGGGATTACAGGTGCCCACCACCATACCCAGCTAACTTTTGAATTTATTAGTAGACAGGGTTTTGCCATGTTGGCCAGGCTGGTCTTGAACTCCTGACCTCAGGTGATCTGCCACCTTCAGCCTCCCAGAATGCAGGGATTACACACATGAGCCACGGAACCTGGGCTCTTTTTGCATTTTTTTTTTTTTTTTTGCATTTCTTTAGAAATAAACTAATACGGATGGGTGTGGTGGCTCATGCCTATAACCCCAGTACTTTGGGAGGCCAAGGCGGGTGGATCACGAAGTCAGGAGATAGAGACTATCTTGGCCAACATGGTGAAACCCTGTCTCTACTAAAACATAAAAAGTAATTGGGCATGGTGTGCAACACCTGTAGTCCCAGCTGCTTGGTAGGCTGAGGCATGGGACTCGCTTGAATCGGAGAAGTGGAGGTTGCAATGAGCCGAAATCGTGCTGCTGCACTCAGCCTGGTTACAGAGCAAGACGCCATCTCAAAAAAAAAAAAAAACAAAACTAATGTATTAATTAAACCATTAAAAGAAAAAAACTACCCTTATTAAGAGTGAGAGAAAGAAAGAATTGTCTTTATGTTACTGAAAACTTCTGTGTTTCAGAAATCTGTGGACCGAAGCATACAAACAGTGGTATCTTGTCTGTTTAATCCAGAGAACAGCAGACTGAGAAACTCTGTTGTTACTCAAGATGACTACTTCAGGGTATGAAAGGAATAGTATGCGTAATTAAAAAGCACACTTGTTAGCTTTAAAGTTTTTGTTTTCCTTGTGTTATATGTATTTTGAGATTTATTAGAGCATTTAATTGAACTGTCGGCATTTGATTGTAACCCAGTAAATGGGAGTGGATTTTATTTGGCAATGTATTTTCTGCTCCGAACCTTGATGTAATGTATCTTTACAGAAGAATCCTTCAGCAGAAATTTGTAATTGAAAGGGTTTACTCAAGAAGAGAGTTAGTTGACTGGTTTGACCAAATAGTAAAAGAAAATTTTAGATCTAGAAAGCACATCTGGGCCGGATCCGGTGGCTCACGCCTGTTAATCCCAGCACTTTTGGAAGCTGAGGTGGGTGGATTGCTTGAGCTCAGGGGTTCGGAGACCAGCCTGGGGAACATGGCAAAACCCCATCTCTATAAAAAATACATAAATTAGCCAGTTGTGGTCATGCATACCTATAGTCCTAACTACTCCAGAGGAGACTGAGGTGGTAGGATTGCTTGAGCCTCGGAAGTTGAGGCTGCATTGAGCCATTATCATGCCACCCGTACTCCAGCCTGGGCAACAGAGTGAAAACTTGTCTCAAAAAAAAAAAAAAAAAAAAAGACACAGAACTTAATATTTGAATATTAGACTAAAGAGAAGAAAAAAAATGGTTTACTCAGATGATGTACCTGAAGGTACATCAGTGTGACGGAAGAAAAGGGATAAAGTGAAGCAGTAAAAAGTTGAGTTAGAAAGAAGGGGAAGTTGATGCAGAGTTGGTGAAGTGGGAGAGAATGTGGGTAGTTGAATTTCAGAAAGATCTGATTTCTGATTCTGCTTTCTATACATGTTGGATAGATCACTTAAATCCTACTAAGGCTCCAGTTTTTACAAGTCTAAAATGAGAAAGTACTAAAGGTTTCTGGGTCCCTGTAATTCTAAGTCTATGAATATGAAAAAACTAATTTGGTCAGTCCAATGGGAGAGAAATATTATGGTTAGTAAAGGGAAGGTATTTTTTAAATAATAGATTTATTGAAATATACAATTGAGATACCCGTAATACAATTTACCTATTTAAAATGTGCATTTCACTGGTTTTCATATATTCAGAGTTGTGCAACCATGACCATAATCAGTTTTAGGATATTTAAATCACCCCCCTACCTTACCAGTCACTGCTGTTTTCCCCCCACCCTGTGTAGCCCTAGGCAACCACTAATTTACTTTCTTTCTCTAAGGATTTTCCTGTCCTGGACATTTCATGTATATGGAATCATACCATAATGTGGCCTTTTCTGACTGGCTTTTTTCACTCAGCATAATGTTTTCAAGGTTCATCAATATTCTAGCACATATCAGTACTTCATTACTTTTTATTTATGGATATTACTCATTCTGTTTATCCATTTATCTTTTAAAGACATTGCAGTTATTTCCACTTTTTAGCTATTAGAAATAATGCTGTGAACATTCAGGTACAAGTTACTGTGTGGACGTATGTTCTTATTTCTCTCACATATATATTTGGGAATGAAATTGCTGAGTCATATTTAACCTTTAGTGGAACTGCCAGAATTTGTTAAAACTGGCTACACACTTTACGTTCAAAAGGAAATGTTTAACCATCACTTTGGGTCTTCAAACGGGAGGTAGACTAGCTTTTTTTTTCATCTGTGAATGGATGTAGGATGAAGCTTAAGCCTTTTTAAAGGGTTATCTTACCTCCTTTCGTAACAGGGAGTAAACATTTAAAATTGATATTTGTTCTCGTTGCTTCATTCTACATAGTATAATTTAGAAAAGAACTGGAATTGTACATCAGCTTACTTTGCCCAAAGTTCTGATGATTACATAGGTGTCTACAGTAGTACTTAAATGATTTTCAAAGCAGAAGATAGTCTTTTGGGTTTTTTTGTTTTTTGAGGTGACTTCATTTGGTTACCTAGGCTGGAGTGCACCTTCGCAGTGACAGTTTAGTACAACCTCAAACTCCTGCATGCAAGGGATCCTTCTGCCTCAGCCTCCCAGATAGTTAGGACTACAGACATGCACCACCACACTTGGCTAGTTAAAAAGATTTTTTTTTTTTAAATATAATCTTACTATATTGCCTTGAACTCCTGAGTTCAAGGGATCCTTCTGCCACAGCCTTTCAAAGTGCGGGGATTACAGGCATGAGCCACCATGCCCAGCTTAGAAAATGGTTTTTAAACTTGAGTTCTCTCACCTGTTACTAGACAAAAGACTCGCTTTAAACTCCCAGAGTTTTCTGCTCCTTTTGGATAGGAATCAGAAGCTGGCATCCTGCAGTTGTCTGATATCTAGACCTATTTTGATAGACTGCATATTGTTATATTGAATTTGAATGCATGAGGTATTTTTGAATGTATTTACTATTTCCATAGCTAATTCCACTCTATATTGTCTTAATTCTGTAGCCCCTTCATAACCTTGTTTCCTACATGACCTTTGAAGATACATGTTGGTGACCAGTTTTCTAGATTTTAACCTAAATAGGATATCACTCTTTTGACAGATAGGTAACTTCCAGGAGCGACTTTATTTATGTGACAATGAAACTTAAGTCCTAGAAAAAGAGCACAGTTAACTTTGTAGAAAAGAAAATACTATTATGTTATTACTGATTTGCTCAGTCTCATTCCTCCTTGTAAGGCTTCTTACTTCCGTCTCTGCACATCCATAGGCAACATAAAGTGAAAAGAAAGTTTTGCATGTATTTAAAAATTTTCCTTTCTAAAGAATTAGGTATCATCACAGGTTAATGATTGATACATCTTTAAATGCCAAAACTTCAATCTTTTAACCTCTGGAATCATGAAATTTCAGATTGGAGAGCTGTTTGCAAGCTGTGGTCCTATTAGATGTAATTCAGTTAGTGAAACAGTATTTTTTACAGTTATATTTTCTACCAGTTGTCTTTGGGACATTACTGCAAAATTATTAATTAAGAAGTACATAAAATGATATTGAGTCTAAGCCCTCTTATTTCTGAGTTTACTGGGATTTCTTTTTTTTTAAGTGATTTCTTTTTTAACTAAACTGTTGAATAAAACTAGCCATCTTGGTACATTTGTTATCCCAGTGTTCAGGAATGCTTCTCAGAAAGAATCACCCTTTTTTATTATTTATAATGTTGAAACTGAAAACAAATGGTTTAATTTTTTGGGAACTTTCAGATCCATAGTAGTAATCAGAAATTTTCGGTAAAGTAAAAGGATTCTTTCTGTCTTTTCCAGGATAAAAGAGTGCATCACTTTAGAAGAAGTCGGGCAGTGCTTAAATCTGTTTGATCCTCTCCGCTGTCTAGTTTCATGGGAAGTTGCTCGTTTTGAATATTAAGCTAAAAGTTTTTCACTATTATAGAAATTCTGAATTTTGATAAATCACACCAAACTTCTTGCATAAGCTGTATTATTAGACTGTCTAGTTTTATCTTTGAAACTGTTCTTTATTAGATGTTTATTTAGAAACTGGTTCTGTGTTGAATATAGTTGAAAGTAAAAAAATAATTGAGACTGAAAGAAACGACTTTAAGATTTATCTGCAAGAATTTTTTAAAAATTGAAATTGGCATTGTAAGTGTTTAAAAGCAAATACTAATTTTCAAAAAAAAATTTTTAACATCTGTTTTGAAAGGTCAGAATTTTAATAGTCTTGAGTACAAGCATTTCACTTCTCCAACAAGTACCTGTGAACAGTACAGTATTTACAATATTGAGCTTTGCATTTATGATTTGTCTAGAAATTTACCCACAAAAGCAGAATTTTTAAAACTGCATTTTTAATCAGTGGAACTCAATATATAGTTAGCTTTATTGAAGTCTTCTTTCTCTAAACCCAGTAAAACAGATTCTAAGCAAACAGTCAAATCAGTGGGTCAGCGTTTATTCAAAATATTTTATCTTTTATCTAGAATCCGCACATATATATCCTATTTGATTAGGATAGTAATTAGGATAACTAAAATTCTGGGCTTAAGGTTTTAAAGAATCCAAGAAAAACTAAACTTTACTAGGTACATAAGCTTTTCAATGAGTTACCATTCTTTTTTGTAAAAAAAATTTTTCTTCGAAATGCTAAACTTAATGGCTGTATGTCAAATTGTGCAAAATATTGTTATTAAAGAATGCTGCAACTTTTTTTATGTCACTTAAAGGTTAATCAGAGTATCTGAAAGGAATTGTTTTTATAAAAATATTGAAATGTTAGTTACCTGCTATAGATTTTTATTTTTGTCTTTTAGCCTGTTATATTTCCTTTTGTAAAGTAAAATATGTCCAGAATAGTCAAAAGTAGGTAGTATTGGTATTTCTAAACCACAAAAGTTGTTTAATAAGTATATCTCAAGAATGTGCTAGAGTTAAAGTTAACGTCATTTCTAGATTTGCTGGTGTCCTCATTTTACATTGTGATGCACAACTAGAGCACCAGAGCCCTTTTGCTATACCCACAGTCTTTTTTTTCCCAGCCTCTGTTGGCTAGTCTTTCAGGAGGTTTGCTCCAAGAACTGGTGATATAAAGAATGGAAGTAGGTTATGAGCAGTTCAAAGGCCAAGCCCTGGAATTGTTTCCCTTAGAAAAGGTTTTATATCCCATTGCTACCAGTCGGATGTAATACCTTTCTAAGGGAAACAGTTGTATCAGTATCATTTGATCTGCCATGGACATGAGTTTAAAGTGGCTTTCTGGCCCTTCTTTCAATTGCCTCTTCCCTAAAACCTGGAAACTCTAGTTAGAATGGGCCATATTAATAGTGCCCACTGGGGTCTGTAATTTCTAATTTTCATTCTGAATCTGAAGGAAAGAGTCTTTCAAATTTTGAATTCACAAGAGGGCTTTATATTACACCTCAGAATTTGAAAGTGCCCTGAATTTGTCCTTTTAAAAATTTTCCGTAGTCTTGATTTTTTTCTCTTTCTTTTTTTTTTTTTTTTTGGTGCTGTAACATTAGGACATATATCATTCTGTAATTAAATCTCCAGCTTACTATAATGATACCTATATTCTAAAGAGCTAATTCTAATTCCTCCAGTATTACATGACCTTAAGGACAAGTAAGCAAATAAACTTTTGTCTTTTACTTTGTTGGAGTGAAGTATTTAAAAGAGTAAGCTAAAGAGATAAAGTCCTGAACCTTTCAAAATGGAAAATTAATTCTAAACTTAGAAATAGTTTCTACTACCTATTGCTGATACTGTCTTTGCATAAATGAATACAAATAAACTTTTTCTTCAAAAACGTTTTTGGCTTCCTGATGGAATATCCAAAATGATGGGGAGTTGGGTGGGAAGTGTTTAACAAGGTTTAGATTTCTTAAAATGCAACAGTATAAAGTTCAGTTTACTAATCTGGCAGTTAGCTCATGAAAGCAAATTTAGGTATGAAGAAATTTAACAGGTACATCAACAGCAGTGCCTAGTAGGAATGCTGACGAATATAACATCTGACTCTGCTATCTCACTGCTAAGGTCCCTTTAATTTTGGACCCTAAGAATCTATTTTATCTTATTTGATTGATTGATTTTGAGATGGGAGTCTCACTCTGTTGCCCAGGCTGGAGTGCAGTGGCACAATCTCTGCTCACTGTAACCTCGCCTCCTGGGTTCAAGCAATTCTCCTGTCTCACCTTTCTGAATAGCTGGGACTACAGGCGCGTGCCACCATGCCTGGCTGATTTTTTTGTATTTTTTAGTAGGTACTGGGGTTCACTGTGTTAGCCAGGATGGTCTCAATCTTCTGACCTTGTGATCCATCCACCTCAGCCTCCCAAAGTGCTGGGATTACAGGCATGAGCTGCCATGCCCAGCCAAAACATTCTGTCTGCTGTACACTTTGGGCCTAATCTGTAGAACCTTTATTTTGGGGAATTGCAGTTGTCTAGTAGAGTTTAAATTTTTTTGTATTGCATATACTTCATACGGATGCAATAAAAAAAAAGAATCAGTACTTAACTACCTCTTCTAGCTGTAGGTCTAGTACTCAGTTCTGTAAGCTGAGGCCAGTGGAGAGGAAAGTCTCCCCTCAGATGCTCCTGTATTTTGTCGATGAATAAACTAACACTGATTCATAACCAGAAATCTTGACTACAAGATTCTGCAGGGTAGCAAACAGTACTTTCTGCATCACCAAAGATTAAATTGTGATGTTTAGTGTCTAACAGTAGGCTAAAAGTAATTATAAATGTGCATTTGTGTATATATGTATACATATGTGTGTCTATATATGCATGTATCTATGGTTACATACTAACCATTATCCAGAATATTGGTTATAGCTTGTCAAGCTAAGTAAGTTTATAGTATTTTCAGACCCCAAAACTAGACTACATGTATCTTAAGATTGTTGCTTTACACCAGCTTATCTCAAGCGTATTTGTAGGTTAGTACTACCACAGAATTGTTAATATAAATTCAAATCTTTGGAATTGGAAGATACCATTCAGCACTTTTTTGTAAAAAGTTCAAGTTACGGCAAAATCAAGCAACTCCAAAAAGGTTGGTCACCTCTATAAGTATATTCTGCATGTTGGTTTTCCTTTTTCTGAAATCAGATTACCTTTAATTAAAAATAACTTCAAATTGGTAGTGCCTGTCTTGCAAGGAAGCCATTGACTTTTAAAAATAACTGCAGCGGTTCCCTCTAGTTGTAAAGCACCTCTAGCCCCTCTTCACTAAAATTATCTTGTCTGTCTTTAAACTCACAGAAATGTGCTGCCACGTTGCTTAATCGCCTTGCCTTTCATTGCTGTCATTTGAGGGTAATAAGGAGCAGCAATGATAAGGCAGCATGCCACTCTTGCTTTCACAAAGATGGCAATAGAGAAGGTGGGGAAACATAAGGGAGGGAAAAGCAGCAGTATTTTCCATTGACCAAGTCTTGAGAATAGGACCAGCTGTTGAGTATGAACATTTGGAATCCCTGAAACACTTCTTCTAGATGAGGATTGCTCCTGTACATATTTTGATAACTATAATCTAGCCCTTCCCAACATTATGTGTAGTATGTCTCTCTGTGTGTAACTGATTGTTGTGAGCAATTCCTCACCACCCTTCAAAGATGTGAGTTTTCCATCTGTAGACAGTACATTTGGTAGTAGAAAACAATAAACGTAAGAAGTTCAAACTATAAACATGCGTTTTTGAATGCTCATGCAAAATATTCAATCTGCATAGCAAAGAAATGATAGGTAATTCTACATTGCATTTAAAGTTAAAAACATCTGTCCAATACGGCTATAGCTGTGGGCCAATCCCAAGAAAATGCAAAAAAAACTGTCTCCTGGTACAGAAGTTGAAACTACCACTGTACAATTAAGCTCTATGGTAGCTATATTTTACATTTTTAACTGGTCTGAAACAAAGTTTTCTAGTTGAGTCTCTAGTTCATTTTCCCAAGGCAAGATGTGGTATCTTATATTCACCTCCATTAAAGCTGCATGCCAGGAATGTGCCTTTTCCCACATATAAAACCTCCAGATACCAGTTCACTAGGTCTCTAACAATAGAATAAATGCTTGCATGACTGGGTTATTCAGGTCATGAAAGCTCTTTATAAATTTGAAACAATAGTAACATTTCAAGCACTTGGGAAAGTTGGAGGTTGTAATCCTTAATTAGTTCTTTTTTACAGAAAACAAATCTAGGAAAAGTACATTGAGGCTCTAATCACATCTATTGTCTTTGCCCAAAATAAAATGGATAGAGACACACTCCATTCTGGCTCAATCTTAGATGAAGCTCTACTATAGAAGAAAGGCACAGTTGAGCCAGGCCAGTTGTTTAAGTGGACATGTCCTCTTTGCCTTTGCACATTTGTTTAAAAATTTTGATACAACTTACTGCTTCCTCCTCCATACTCTCCATAAATCTGACTGGGCCAACAAGAATGCAGCAAGATAATTTAAAATGCAGAGGACATTTTCTCTTTGTTTTTACCTGTGATGATCACCTACCTAGTGTTGGAACAGCTTCACTGAGTAAAATCTGAACAGTGTTTAAGCAATATACCTGCTATATGAGAAAAGCTTGACCCTGTACTTTTTTTTCCCCTGCACATGACTTGGTTGCTGCTCATCATTCGGGTTGGTGATGTGTCTGTCTTTGACAAAAACCCATACACTTACCGTCCAAGGTTGTATCCATGATTAGATCAGGCCAATATTTGATAGGGCAGGTTTCCTCAAAGATAGTAATTTTACAGGGAAATCGAAGAGCATCAGAACTGTCAGGGTGGTTTTTCAGAGATGCTAAATCTTGGACCCCATTCTCAGATGCTCCTATTCCTAATGCTCTTGATGGGTCCAGTAATGTGCATTTTTAACATGTGCCCCAGGTGATTCTGATCACTGTGTAACACACTGAGAAATACTGCCTCAGATCTCTCGTATCTTCTCAAGCTATCCCTGGAATTAGGATAGAAACAGCCCTGTCAGGTCCATTATGACTTTTCATAAAGGATTTCATTGGCTTAATTCACTGAATTCATCTTTCCTGGACTGTGCCTGGGAGTGCCAGTTGTCCACAGGCAAGAGTGACTCATGAATGGGCTGAAATGGAGTGAATAAAAAGTCTGAAAACCAAGACTTGTGGCCTGAAATGAGATAGGAGGGAGTGACTATAGAGGCAAAGCTGGATTTCAAGACCAAGTGCAGGCAAGCCAAGGGGAGGGGACGAGGCTCCAGTGGCAAGGGGCAGAGTAGGTCTCTTGGAGGCAGAGACACTGCTTGCCTCCTGGAGTGAAGAACTATGCCTTTGACCCACTTGACAAATTTTACAAACAGCATTACCCATGGTTTTTAGAAAACTATGGCCTGTCATTGCCCCTTTTCCTGCTGTGGAATTAACTAATACCTCCTATCTTTAAGCAAGAATGACAATAACAGTATCAAAAATATGTTGAGATCAAGTTCCAGAAATAGTCTTAGGTATTTGTATATGTGCTTGTGTTTTAAAATTTTGCATTTAATTCACTCAAAAGTATAAAAATATTTCTTTAAAGTATAATAAATACCCAAGTTAGCTTGAGAAATAGAATATTTCATTAATTTTAAAATGTACCCTCCCTGATTACAACCTCTTCTTCCCCAAGAAGAAGAAACCACTAAATTGAATTTTGGGGTTTAATCATTTGCTGAATAAAA